TAGGCGCAATGCGATTTTTCGAAGTTGTTATATTCCCATGTTTGAACAAAACCTTCATCTATAGTTGTCACTAAAAACGCGGCAGAAAATTTTATTGCTTTGTACCTTTACACCATGCTTAAAACATGACTTCATTTTTCCGTGAAGGTTCGGTTTACTGAATTTGGCTTCATTAAGTACGCATTGTAATCACTGTTGTAGCTGGTAGTTAATTTACTCATCAGTCGATAAAAGAAAGGGGAGTGTTCAAATGTCTGAAGACAAAGAATGTCGAAGAACTTTTGAAGAGTCGATGTTTTTGATGTGATAACAGAACATATTTTATGATAAAGGCAAAGAAGGCACAAAAACGCCACCCGCATTTGCGCGGAAAACTGAACATGTGTTTGTTTTCTAAGAACAGCAGTTCTGCAGTAACGTCTTTAAACTTTCATTAAGTCTTGAAACATTAAATTTGGCAGTTTCGACCGATTTGTTACTGTGGTTCGTCATTACCATTCGAAGAATATGTAATTGTTCTCATTTGAAAATAATTAAAGCGCGTGGTAACCTGTATAGTGAATAAATTTCTGAGAATTGTTTTCATTGCAGCGCAGCCAACGTGTGCTTTGTGGTATCAGACGAGGTCTAACAAGCCGGTGCTTGTTTATGGGAACAAGGTATACGTTTGTTAGCGGTTTGTTGCATAGGGACGATCTGTATTTTTTGTGTGTATTTTTAAGGGCGGAGATATTGTTTTCTTCGACCTCTGTCTCAGACGATTGACCGTGTCGCTACAGGCCCCTCAGTCGATCCACAACATTGAACTTTTCACCTCAGACTGTATTGACGTTTATCTTCTGGTAGGTTGCTGGTGAACACGCTGTCTTATCTTTGTACAAACGATGACACTATAGTATATTGTGTGGTAAGCGACAGAAATTACTTTCGTTGCAAAGTTCGTTAGTGATAAGGTGCAAGGCAAGTGCATACGAAATGTGCTCATCTGAGCCACGTCGTTAAATTAAGAATCGCGAGATCCCCGTTGACCACTGATCAGGATATCAGCGGTTAGTATCGTAAGACGGACTTCGCTAATTCAAGTGGCGGTCGGTTAGCGGGCAGAATGGCAGTTCCAGATGGTCGAATATAATGAACAACTGATGTTGCCGTACCTTTGAAAAAAGTAGGACCAAGAATGAGTTGAAAAATATTTCGAGGCTGCTATCTCTGCTTCTTGATAAAGAACCAGGCCAAGAAAGTGAATGATGAACAAATAAACTCATTGACTAAACCGTATTGAATTGTTCACTGCATGCGTATTATTTCTGATTAGATCTTTCATTTTTTATTTAGGTTACTGGGTTTGCTGGAAGTCAGTGGCTTATTCCTCTTGAAAAAGACGGTTCAACTCTACGAGGTAATGAATCCCAACTGCTTCATTGTATTTAATAAGTAAAAAGTACGTTGCACTGACGTATAAACTTAGCATATTTTGAAGATTTTTGGTTGAAGTTAAGATTAAAGAACAAAAGATTAGAATTAAAAACCGGTTTTTGGTATGTTCTGTTTAGGTTTGACTACTTTGATACAATTTATTTAATTATGTATTCGTTTATGTTCTTATTCTTGAGTGAAAGAGTTTTCCCAACATATAAGAATATATATATTTCTATTCAGAGTGATAATCCGCCCATGCTGGTATGAACTGAAATTGATTTGTTGTTCAGCCCAAAGCAGCGCCTTTCGCTGCGACTGCTGAATGACCAGTTATTGCAGCTTGAGCATGTTGCTTTGTCGTATACATCAGTTGATAGTGGATCATCAAGGAAGCTAGTTTCGCGAAGGCAATGGAATCGAAGGCTTTTACAGATGAAAAGTCTTTTGTCCTGGTTGGGACTTCTCTGAAACTGTTTTGCAGTATAGTTTATTTATAAAGTTTTTCGATTAACCATGAAATCGACCATTTAACGAAGTTTTTTTAACTTTACCATCTAAGAGTAAAAAAACGAAAAAGTCGTTTTGCGACTGGTTTGTGCAAAAGCGATGTAAACATTCGTTCGGTCTTGTTTCTGTAAGTTAATAAACTTATTTTCCGACTATCCAGAAGATGGTTACATCGCTGTTGCATAAGCTAGTCCCAAAAGAACTCTCATCTTTTGTTTGAACAAAGACTGACTGACGTGAATTGCGTCATAAACTTGCTTCATGGCGAATAACCCGGAGCAGCCACGAAATGCTGACGACGATGGAAATCCAAGGAATCTAACTTTAGGCGACTAGATATTGGTTATAGATCTCGGGGTTCAGGTACTTAGTGTCGGCAGGTACTCATTTCGTTATAGTGAGGCACTTTACGCTTTGTTTTTTTTTACAAACAACTAAAAATTTAATGAAGAGTGATTTCTGAAACTCATTTCAATTCTGTTTGTTCAATAAATTTTCAGTTCAGTGGTTCTAAACACAAACAAATAGGCATTGTAATTCTATGCTGACTGCCTGCCCTGTAGATGGCCCAGTGCCGGTAGTTCTAATAAAGTACTGAACATCTGCTTTCTCACCTTTGTCTAAAACCACCGAACTAACATTTTTTAAAGAATAGTTTTACGAAGATTTGAAAGCCGGGTTCATTCGCGTAGTCGACAATAGTAATGTGACAGTAAGTTATGAAAAACTAAAGTAGTTTTATTATACAGGCGTATGAATTTCACGATAATCCTAACCGGGAAGGGAGACTTCTCTGATGCAGAAGATTCGGTTGCATAACTGCTTTCGCTTAGCTAGCTGGGGCTGTCAATTTTACGCGGAGGTATGACGCTGTACCCTCATGCAGTAATAGCTATCTATTAAGCGGTCACATCGATGTATTACCTCTTTTGACAGGACAAAGAGTTACTTTCAGACCCTACCGGTGTATATGACATATGGTATAGCTGACCTGTTCTACTGTCACATTTGAAAATTCTTTTCAGCTTTGTGTTTATTGATTTTTTAGAGACCCTTGGTTCGGTGATTCCTTCCATGTTGAAAGAGCTTAGCGTGAAATCTCGGGTATTTTCCGTGCCTTTTGGCGAATGCTCGTCGTTCGCCATTTCGTCAGGCTGCAGTCTTCAAGTACGGAATACGCGCGATAGATGACGACCAAGTCACCCTTCTCTGACGTTGTAGCTCTATCACACTGCGTCGTTAATTAATCCTTTCTGGGAGGTGGTGCTTCCGGACGAAGGCTGGAAAGTGTTCTCCATCGGTTACGCTTTGTTCCTTCTTACCGCGAACTTCAAGCTGTACTGCCTTATTCTCAGGGGCTGCACGAAAGACCAGGCAAACGATATTCTTATATCTCATTATTTTTGTTCATTTTGCATAAATTTTCCTGTTTTATTTTTCGTTTTACGTGTTTTTCTTTAGTCAAGTGCGATGAGGGAGAAGTTCACCTTTTACTGCGGAAATATGGACATGGAATCCGGTTTCGTGGGTTTCGCTTCAACGGCAAACGATGATGACGACAACGAATCGCCGCTCGTTAGTCTTCCTTCTTGCATTGTCATAACGAGCAGTTCAGTTTTCAAGGTGCACTGCAGATGGTAAACATATCTGCTACCTTTGCGGAATATAATTTTTCACGTTTAATTTAAATATTTTGTGAATACGTTAGACTCAAAACTTAATAGTTAGTCCGTAATGAAACTTAATTACGTATGTAGTTAACTTGATTCAAACATCGATCACTTTTTCCCCTCTCAAAGTAATAAACATTTTGGTGCTACGTCCTGCTGTTTGTTGGTTACCTGTTGACACTGGCACTCAGTTCTTCCACTCGGGCTTGTACCCCGTAAAGTCTTCCTTGTATATGGACAAAATTCACGTAATTAAGACGTAAGGAAGTAGGTCATCGTTAGCCACTGTTTTTCTACTAGCACCGCTGAGAAGTGCACGCTGCTCTGCACTCACCCTGTGATTTTATCCCCTGCTACGATCTTCCCTCTCTTTCCTCCTACCTAAAGGCGAGACTGCATTCATCCTTCAGGAATAGTATAACTATTACTGTTATGGATGCGAAAGTAGTTTGCGAATGTGAAACCTTTTGACCGAATGACTCTAATTCTGTGGTTAATAGCATTTTTTTCAGTAGCATTGTTGACATTCTTGTTGACATGTTTGCTTCCACTAACGATGC